CTATTTTGCCCATAAATATTATATTCAATATCATAGCTATTATTAAGCCAATTGTTATCCACAGTAGACCCAACACTTTGGCCCAATAGCCGGTATTATAGTTACTAATCTCATTATAGTCGTCATTCAACTCCCTTATTGCACCCGTAATATATAAGCTAACGGTGCGATCATTTAGTTCATTGTTTAACATTTGTTTAATACCTTGATTTTGTGATTTCATTTTCCAATCCAAATAAGTTGTAATCAAATAATAATAGGCTGACTGATAGACTAGTATATTGAATACATAGTACACCCAAACAGCCCAACCAAAACTATGGGGTACGGCATAAATCAAAAACTGTGTCCAAGTAGTTTTCGGTATGCACGATGCGGCTGCCAGTGCTAGCATCAAAAATGCTACGCCTATAGTAGTTATACGGGTTGTTAGTAGACATCGACGGCACAGTTGCCTAAATCTTGCGATTGTTTGCCGATCGTATAGACCACAGCTAACCGGTGCTCGTACACCGGCCATAACTTCAAGCACTCGTAGATGATTATTACAGCCATCACCGGCACTGCCATTACCATCACCCGTGTAATAGTTGTTAAAGTTTATCAATTGCGAACCGAGTGATAGTACCGATAGAAATGCGGCAATTGAGTTGGCCAACATACCGTTACCGACAAAATAGCCTAAATCTCCCCATAAGAGTCTCAGTTCAATAGTGGTAAACCAGTTATTACAGGTTAATAAAATACTACAGCGAATCAATGCTAATAATACTACAATAAATACTAGCATTGGATGATGAAATAATTGACGATTATTATTAGTATTATTATTATTTTGGTAATTGTTGATTGGTTTGTATAGGGATAGACCGATTCTGTAGAGATGACTGTCCGCACCCGTAAGCCATAGCTCCGGTGGCAATGGTTTTGTCGGATCAAATACTGTCTCAGTTATTATTAGTGCCATTTATTTATTCAATATATTGGTATTAGTGTAATATTAATATAACTATTTTGTAAATGTGGACTTTATTGTAGTTAAGATTAAAATAATTATATATATAAAACTATTATTTATTATTGTAATTATCAAATGTTTAGCAAATTATGATATAATTGTTGTTTTTGATAAAATTTTGTATTAAATAAATATATTATTTCATATTTTCTTGTAATAAAATTATTTAACTATTATATATATATATGAACTAATAATGTTTGAAAACAATTAGTTTTTAATTGAAACATTATTTTCTTATTTGGATAAAAATAATTTAACATATATTTAATTATACAGTATTTTAGTTTATAAACAATTTTTATTACTTTATTGATATGACTATTGACATTAAATTTTTATTATTATTACAAATTACAAATTATAAAATTAATTTTATAACTTGATTTTTAAAAATATTATTATTTTTCAACTTTACAATATAACAGTGAGTATTTCATATTTAAAATTTTTTATATAGAAATAATGAATTATTATAAATAAAATATAATATTTTCTAATTTGCTTTAATTTTATTATCTATAGTATAGACTAATATATAGATTCTATACTTTAACATTAGTTCAACATATGCTTACATTTAAAAAAATAAATTTTATTACAATATTATGAACTTATTAAAAAAATTAGTATATATTTTTAATTAGATTTATATAAATATAATATTTTAGCTATTTAGTTATATCATTAAGTTTAATACATAATAAACTTATCATCGAAATAATCTAGATTTAAAAAAAGTAATTATTAAAATGAATACAGTATATAATTTATATTTAATACAATACCTCATAGCCTCTAAAATTATTAATAATAAATAATTTCCAACAATAAAATCCAATTTTTTGTTGCGATATCCGACCCAAAAGTGTTGATATCTGATAAACAATGTTATAACATTTAATATAATTATTTTTAACAAATTATAATGAAAATTTTATACTTATATGATATATACCTTAAATTTTAAAATTAATGTTTTTCTATGGCGTGAACATAGATATGAATTCAATATATTATAAGTAATCAATGGCTCGTAAAATATATCATTTGATATACGGATTATAAACAACAATAGTGTTATATAATTGACGAGATATATGCTGACAATTGTAGCGATTAAAACATCTGTTTTGCCCATAAATATTATATTCAATACCAATGCTATTATTGAACCAATTGTTATCCATAGGATACCTAAAATTTTAGCCCAATAGCCGCTATTGTAATCACTAATCTCATTGTAGATGTCGTTTAGCTCGTGTATAGCACCGGTAATATGTGAACTAACGGTGCGATCATTATGCGGTCCATCAGTTTTTTTAAGCACTTGTTTAATACTATCGTTTCTGGCTTTCATTTTCCACTCCAAATAAGTGGTAATCAAATAATAGTAGACCGGCTGATAGACTAGCATATTGAACACATAGTGTATCCATACGACCCAACCAATGCCATGTGGTAAGGCATACAACATAAACTGTGTCCAAGTAGTTTTCGGTTTGAACGATACGGCTACCAGTGCAAATGTTACATATGCAATGCCTACGGTAGACGTACGAGCCGTTAGCAGACACTGGCGGCACAGTCGCCTGAATCGTACGATTGTTTGCCTATCGCGGAGACCACAGGTGACCGGTGGCCGTAGACCGGCCATTACTTCAAGCACCCGTAGATGATTAGTACATACATAACCGGTATAATAATAGTTGTAAAAGTTTACCAATTGCGAGCCCAGTGACAATATCGATAGACAGCCAGCTACTGAGTTGACAAGCATACCGGCGCCCATAAAATAGCCCAGATCTCCCCATAGTAGTCTCAGTTCAATAGATGTATTAAACCAGTTATAATAGATTATGAAAATACTACTGCGAATCAATGCTAATAATACTACAATAAATACTAGTATTGGATGATAAAATAGTTGACGATTATTATTATTTTGGTTATAGTTGACTGGTTTGTAAAGGGATAGACCGATTCTGTAGAGATGACTGTCCGCACCAGTTAGGTATAGCTCGGGTGGCAATGGTTTTGTCGGATCAAATGCTGTCTCAGTTAATGTTAGTGCCATTTAACTGATTACTATTAGTATTTATATAACTATTTTTGTAAATATGAGAGTCTTTATTATTTAGTTAAATTCAAATTATTTTTATTAATAATAAAACTACTGTTATATAAAACTATTGGTTATTAATTTTAAATATCAAATGTTTAGCAAATTATCATATATATAATTGTTATTTTTTGTGAAATTTTTTATTAAACAAATATCAATGATTGCTTTATTTAATTGTATAAATAATAAAAAATATTTTACTACTAATAATTTTTTTTACTACTAAATACATAATAAACTAATAATTTTTTTATTACTAAATACTTAATAAACAAATAATTTTCTATGAAAACAATTAATGTGTAAATTAAACATTATTCCCTTTATTTTGGATACACATAATTTAACATATATTTAATTAGCAATATATATATATATATATATATATATATATATATATATAATACTTTAGTTTGTTTGTGTTTTTTTATTAAATTATTTTTAATGTCTATTACACTAAAATTATTATTATTACAATATTATTATTATAGTAATTTTTTTTAATAACATAAGCTATTTTTAATTCGATTTTTATCTAAATTTTGTTTAAATAATAATAATAATAATAACTTTACATTATAAGATTAGTGAATATCTAAATTATATTTAATTATTTAATAAAAATATTATATGTTTGTTTTTATAGTTTAGTAATACGAAATAACATTTTTTACAGTATATATATATTTTTTTAAAAAAATAGTTGAACTATTTTATTAATCAAAATTAAATTATAATAAATAATTAATAGTATAATTCAAATATACCCTGGTTCTGAATATAAAATTATTGTATTAATTTTAGTACTAATTTAATTGATTACAACAAATGTTTTCTGAATAACAATGTACTTAATGTAGTAAATGTACTAAACTGTAATATATGTACTAAATACAGTATAAAATCATTTTTTTTTTAAAATACATTATAATTAATCTATTGTTTTACTTTATATTATTTTAGGTGTAAATACTTTTCTATTTTTGTACTCAAAAAAAAACTTTTTATATACCGATAATAATTAGTGATTAACTTTATATGGTGAAATTTTATTATATTATTATTATTATTATAATCAATGAAAAGTACCATGATAATAGTAAATAAACATATATAGAATTATATATATAAATTTTTTTAACTTATCTATATTATAGATTACTGTTGATTACTATTTTATAATTAAAAAAAAATATATTTTTTTTTAAATTAATCAATTTGAATCAATAAATAATAAAACATTATAGTGGTTCTACCATATATTTTTTAACCATGATTATTTATTTGTTTAAAATAATAATTATTAATTAAATTACATAAAATATACCATGTATAAAATATATTGATAAGTCAAAATTTTAAATTAGTATTTAATATATATTTTATATAAGTAACATTAAAATTGGTCAAAGGACTTATATTAACTAATATTAACATTTTTATCATTTTAGTTTTTATATTAGTTAATCTTTAAAATTAAAATTAATCAATAAAATTGATATATATATATATATAATATATGTCAAGTACAGTTTTAATTGATTGATTGATTGATTGATTGATAATATAAATTTCATATATACTGTATTAATACATTATAATAATTTTTAAGTACTTTATTTATTTTTTTAACTATATAGTACATTATAATCATGGTTAAGTGGTTGGTAGATATGCTATAGCTATATAAATAATACTATATAAATTGTAAGTTAACCTAAAAGAACCTAGTTAGTTTATTTTAAATTACAACTATAAATTTTTAGCAAAAAATGAATTTTAAAATATTATTATTAGTAGTATTTATAATTAAAGTTATTACTATTACTAAAACTTGCGGTGAATTTATTTCGCTTAATGGCAATGATTGGCAAGCAATTAGTCAAAATAAATGTAATGTTTTTATGTAAATTAAATTATGTAATTATTTACAGAAATATTATTATTTTGTTTTTTGTTGACATTATTTTGTTGACATTATTTTGTTGACATTATTTTTTCCACCCAAACTAATTAAAGCAATCAAATTGAAAGCCAAAGTACCGGGAAGTATACACTCAGATCTGAGACGAGAGGGTATACTTAAACAGGATATTTACGTACAATATAATGATATCGACTATCAATGGGTTTCATTAGATAATTGGACTTTTGTGAAAACATTTACAGGTATTTTAACATTATTATAACGACATAAATATACATAATTATTAATTAACACTTATTTAAAAATTAACATTAATTTTTTTTTTAATTATTGACAAATTATTATAAAAGTGGATTCAAATATATTAAACAAGAAAACTGTTAACCTATTGGCCAAAGGCATCGATACTATTAGCAATGTTTTCATAAATGATAAACTAATTGGCAAAACAAACAATCAATTTGTTAGATATAAGTTTAATGTCAAACAAGTGCTAAAACTGGGACAAAATACTATACGTATTGCTATTCAATCGGCACCGGCCTATATTAGACAACAGTACAATGATTTTAAACAAAAATATAATTATACCATTCCTTCAAGTAATATATTATTTTTTATATTGTTATATAATTTTTTGTTGTTGTGTGTGTCTATGTTTCAATGAATAATAAATTGATTTTATTTTTTAATTCAAAAAAAATTGATTTTTTTAGTTACCGCAAATAATTATGCTTTCATACGCAAAATGGCCGCATCTTTTGGTTGGGATTGGGTTTGTATTTTCATTGCAAAATTACATTTTATTTTTATATTTTTTAAATTTTAACAATTTTTTTGATGAAAATAGGGCCCATCGTTCCCGACTCAGGGTATTTGGAAAGATATTGGTCTCGAAGTATACGATACGGCAATAGTCAGGGATATAGTAGTGGATACCAAACCCGTCAACAAATCGATGACTCGTTGGTCATTAAATTTGATTGTATTTCTCGAGTCGATAGCAGATCACGAGTTGATGGGATTGTTTGATATTAGTTTAGATGAAAATGTTTTAATCACTAAACAAAGACACATTTTGAAAACTAATAGTATGGGTGAGTGTAGTGTTAAGTTTGATATCGAAATTCCCGACAATATTCCCATAACTGTCTGGTATCCCAACGGTGTTGCAAATGATACACAAAAACTATATAAATTGACAGTTAATGTGTCTGTTGTGGACAACAATGACAACTACAACACTGAAGAAGTGTCCGCACAGACAAAGAAAATCGGTTTCCGTACCATTCGTTTAGTACAACAACCGATTCGGCCGAAAGGTTTGACATTTTATTTCGAAGTAAACGGATTACCGTTTTATGCAAAGGGAACCAATTGGATACCGGCTCACAATCTACTCGATACTGTCACTGATGACTATATCAGACATCTATTGGTGTCGACAAAGGAGGCCAACATGAATATGATGCGTGTCTGGGGCGGCGGTGTCTACGAGACCGACTATTTCTACGAGTTGGCCGATGAACTGGGTATTATGATTTGGCAGGACATGATGTTTGCCTGCGCTCCCTATCCGGCAAATCAGGAATATCTGGAAACAGTTGACCTGGAAGTACGTCAACAATTGAGACGTTTAGAAAATCATCCGTCTATTGCCATTTGGTCGGGTAGGTGGTCATAATTTTGTTGTTGTTGTTATTGTGTTATTATAATACATTGTGTTAAATTATTAAACAATTAACCAAGGTGATTTTTGTTTTATTTTTATTTTTTTAAAAAAAGGAAACAATGAGATTCAATATGTTGAAGAAATAATTTATCGAAATAATAGTCACTTTATTGATGATTATTATAATATGTTTATCAAACATATTAAAACTATTGTCGACAATGAAGACCTAATGGTACGACCGTTTGTCAGTTCCAGTCCATCAAATGGTTTGCAATCAGTCAAAGATAATTATACATCCAGTCGATCGGCTAACGACTACCGTTACGGTGATGTCCATTATTATAATTATAACAGTCCGCTGTGGAACTGGACAGTGTTTCCCAGCGGAAAGTTTGTATCTGAATACGGGTTTCAATCGTATCCATCATTGGAAACCTTATCCCAAGCTTTTCTGGACAATGACTTTACATATCCATTGAGTAAAGCTGTTCAACGCCGTCAACAAAATCTATTGGGATATCAATCGATTGAGACGATGAGCGGTTAGTTTATTATTTTATAAATATATATATATATACAGTATATATATGTATATAAAAATAAGTTTAGTTTTACGGCATTTACTTATTTGACTCACCAATAGATTTTTAAAAAAACTAATTGTATTTTTATTAAATCATTTCATTTTAATATGAAGTTGTGTTTTAAATTTTTTAGTTTTAAAGTTGCAGTCGTGAAGCACAGGTATATTAGTGTTGATCATTATATAAGAGATTTTTTTAGGCAATAGATTGATCCATAAAATAGTCGGCAGTTATTTGAAAAACTACTGAAAAGTTATAGAAAGTTATAGAAAGTGAATATTTTTTTATAAATGGCATAAATATTGATTTTTTTTAAGTAAAAATTTTTAATTAAACTATTGTTAAATTTTAGTGAAAAATATTTCTATTTTTTAAAGTTATTTTCACATATAAAATATTTATACTTTAAATACTATATAAAGTAGTTAATTAATTGTTATATTTATTTATTTACATAAAAATTAAAGCCCGATATTTTAAAATGCCGTCCAATGGACTCGTCGATCGATTCAATGATTTTGTATATTTATCGCAAATAACACAAGCGATGGCTATTAAAAGCGAAACTGAATTTTATCGCCGAAATCGTGATATCGACGATCAGACTGGCAATGGATATACTATGGGTGCCCTGTATTGGCAATTGAATGATATATGGCAGGCGCCCACTTGGGCTTCAATTGAAAGCAATGGCAAATGGAAAGTATTGCATTCATATGCCAAACAATTTTTCAATAATCTATTGGTAGTGCCCTATGAAGACAATAATCAACTAAAAGTAATATTCAAATTATATACTTACCGTAAAATTGTGTTCAATATTTCCCATATGGAATTCAAAAAAAAATAAATGAAAATTAACAGTTTCATATGGTAAAAAACTCGCATTTTTACCACCCCTGGTAATAATTAAACACTTAATTATACAAATTAAAAAAACTATATTTTTCATATGGGGAAAAACTCGCATTATTTCCCCATGACTTTGACATTTACATATGGGAAATAAAACACAATTTATCGGTATATATATATAAATATTATAAGTTACCAAAAAAATTGCTAATTATATTATTAACAAATCATTTTTTTTTGGTTATTGTAAAAGGTTTCCGTAGTCAATGACTATTATTCAAAAATTGATTATAATTTTTCAATTAAAGTCTATAAATGGTCGCAAAATAAACCAATTTATGAATTAAAAGATTTTTACAAAAGTGATAGTTTTTCAGCAAAAGTTGTTTACAGCAAACCTATTGTCGATTTGTTAACTGAATCGAAATGTTTGAATAGAAATGAATGTTTGCTTAGTTTTGAAGTAAACAATTTTGAACATAAATTACAGGTAATATACAGTATATATAAATATTTATTTTATTTTTTATATTAATTAATTTTATTTGAATTTTATTTATTATTTTTTTCATTAGTCTAATAACTTTATGTTATTAACGGAACCGAAAAATTCAAAACTAATTAAACCTAATATCAAAGTATTGGACGTCAAAAAAGGGGGAATCAATGATAAAACATTTATTATAAGTCTATCATCGGAAACAATAGCACCGTTTGTTTTGTTAGATTTTAGACCAAATTCAGAAATTAGCGGACAATTTATGGAAAACGGTTTCTTTATATTTGACGGACAAAAATCAATTATTTTTAAGTCAAACTCACAACTAATTAGTGAACAACAAATTAAAGATAAACTTATTGTTAAAACAGTTACCGATGTTATCTAATTAATTATTATTATTTGTTTGTTTAATAATTATATATACTATAATGTTTAATAATATATTGTAATTTTTTAAAAAAATAATATATATTAAAAGCTTATAATAAATTATATTCAGTAGTAAACATATTTATATATATATAAAAAAACTTAATTTTTAAAAAATTATTTTTATTTTGTTTTTTTGGATCAACTATTATAAATGATTTGTGAATAAGGAGGAGGAGGAGGAGGTATAGGTAGAAATAAAAATTGATAGGGATGGGGGGAGGGGGAGGGGGTCAACTTAACAATTATGAAATATAAATATTAAGTGTTAAAAAAGTTATATAAAGTTTTTTTTATATAAAAAAATACAGTATGTCTATGAAAATAATGGGTCTATGAATTGTGTTTGACAACTACAAAAACAAATATCCCGGCCATTACTATTGCTATGATAAAAATGGCACCTGAAATAGCATACCATTTACCATTAACACTACCGGTGCTGTTGTAGTTGTTATCATTATATGGATAATCATAATCATTATCATAACGATGTCGCCAGTCGTGGTCAAAGCCATCTTCAATCTATAAATATTATTATATAAATAAAATATTAATTAATTTACAAAAAAAATTACATAAAAATGTCAGACATTGTAGCCTAAAATTTATAGGTAAAACAAGTTATCAATAAATTGAAATAAATTATTAGATATAAATTATATATACAGGTATATACTGTAGATATTTTATATGTTATAAATTAATTAGAATAATTAAAATTAAAAAAAATAACTAACTATAGATATATTCTATAAGTGTATTATAATTGAAATTAAATTATCATAAATAATACTCAAATAGTATAACTTAACTATATAAATGGTTAATAATAGTTAGATTATAATTTAGTAATATAAATAGCAACACAATATTAGTTGTCTAATAGATCTATAATGGTTTCTATATATGTGATTACATATATATGTGTGTATGTTAAATGTGATTACAAAAAACAATAAGTTAATCCAAAAAAATAATAACAACAACAACTACTACTACTACTACTACTACTACTACTACTACTACTACTACTACTACTACTACTTGTATATACTAACACATTGCATGCCATCAAATGACGGACTTTCATGATAACCCCGTTCGCATCGACACTGACCGAACGTACGATCACAGTATCTGTAGTAGTCGTGATGGGGTCGACAATCCGAGTACCGGTGCGGTCTCTGTTGACACCAGTATCTCTGACAGCCGTTCCAACTGTTCAAACGATTGTACTTATAATTTGGTTGACAATAGCATAGACTATCCACATAAACACTATTGGTTGAATTGTGCCAACAATCACCATTAGTTGAACAATAGGTTCCCGGTATTCTCAGTACAGTATCCGTATCGCACCATTCACGGTGACAGTAGGCATAGGTCGGTGTCGGTATCATCAATGAGCTTATGTAGACTATGATGATGATAGTGGTGGTGGTGGTGGTCACTGGTAAGTTGAACCAGTTTATAGACAATTGGTGGCTAAATAACATGATTTTTTTATTTGTATATTATTATTATTATTATTATATTAAATACATTTAGAGTAATTTCAATGTTTCATGTTTTTTTTAATTTTCATTGTTAATATTTACAATTGAAAACTAGGTATAATTTTTTTTATATATTTAATATATGTTATACAATATATTAAATATGTTTTTTCTCTCTATTTGTTTTAGTGTTATCTTATCATTTGTATTATTTTTATTGATAACGATAATAAAAAATAGATTTATAATACATTTTACTTTTCTAAGTTAAGTTTAATCATTTACATTATTATGTAGCTATATTTTTTAAAAAAATATCTAGGATATTATTAATTATAGTGCAATATACGTGTATATATACTGAGTATATCTGAAAAATAAATAAAGTAAACATAAATCAAATGCTTATTAAATAAATAAATAATAAAACTTATATTTAAAAAAATAGTTTACAGTTTATTTATTTGAATAAAATTTTTTATATAAATAAGAAATAATTTACTTAATTATTTTAATAAAACATTATTATAATATTTTGTTGTTTGTGTTATACAGTATATTTTTGTTTGACAAAAATAGTCTTTAATATAATTAAAATAATATTTATTTTTCTAATATATAAAATTTTAATTATAATAATTATATATTATTATTTTGATTCTATAATAATAATCTATATTATTATAATAAATGTTTTCTATCTATTTGATAGCAAAAATTAATTTATATTAATAAAAAAATTAATACAATTTTACAGTAAAATTAATTGCAAGCTTATAAATATATATATTTTTTATTACTATTATAATTACTAACATTCAATTAATAAAAATTATAGTAAAATATATAATAAAATAATATTACCCGTAATCTAAAAAATATATCTTATTTTTTTGTTATTTTAATAAATAAAAATATTTTTTAAAAAAATAAATAAATAATTGTCATTATTATTTTATTTGAGGTATATTATAAAATAATAATTGTTATAATTTATGTTAGTTTTTTTAAATATAAAAAATTTTACAGTAAAAAAATTAAAAATATTTTAAAAACTAAAATAATTTATTGATAAACATATACAGTATTATTCAATTATATTTGCATTTGTAATACTAATAATAGTTTGAATAACTAAACAGTCATTTAACAAAAAGCAAACAAAAAATTATATAAATATATATATAATTATGATATTATTAAAAAATAACAATTAATTTAATAAAATATAAATTTTATATAAAAAAAATCCTAATTTATGGCACAATTGTCTTATTTTTTGTGGCAGTTTTAAAATAGACTGTTTCCCTACTAATACTACTACCGTTCCCCCCTCCACTGATCTCTAATAAAGTACTGTACTGTTCAATCAATATTCATCGGCAAACGGCCACTCCTTGTGCCGATCGGAACCGAAATGGTCGTGTTTGGCCGTACGTAGATTACAGTCAAGTGAGGCCAATCCTCGTAACTCATCGGCGGTTAACTCGAAACCGAAAACATTGATATTTTCCAACAATCGCTTTTCCGACGAACTCTTCGGTATGACTGCTACTCCGGGGCGTTGGGTTTGCCATCGGATGCATACCTGTGCCGGCGATACCCGATATTTGTCGGCTAACGTCCGGATCAGCGGCTCGTCCAGAGGTGACCGTTCAATTCGATAGCCGATTCGGGCGAGCGGTGAATACACTGTTACGGCAATGTCCTGACGGCGACAATAGTCTATAAGACGATCGTTTGACAAATACGGATGACTTTCGATTTGGTTGACCGCCGGGCGTCTAGTATTGGCCACCGAACAAATTGATTGCAACTGTCGTGAGTTAAAATTTGATACACCTATTGATCGGGCGATTCCGGTCGCAGCTATTGAGTCAAACTCGCGCCAAACGTCCCGCAAGTCGATAGTTTCGTCGCATATTACTTGACCGTTCGCGTCGAGCGGATAAAACTCGGTGTCCGACTGGCCAAACGGTGTCGGCCAGTGTATAAGCAACAGATCCAGATAGTCGATACCATCGCCGAATCGGGCCAGCGATTCACGAGCACTGCGTGTCGGTCGGCCCGAAGCAAACCAATTGGGCCAGACTTTGGTCGTAATAAACAGATCCTGACGTTTGACTTCGCCGCTAGCAATGGCCGCCCCAAGTGCTCGGCCAATATCGGCTTCGTTGCCGTAGATGTGGGCGCAATCAAAGTGCCGATAACCGCAACGAACGGCCGTACGAATTACCGATTCAATATCACCGGTCTTATAGGTACCCAAACCGATGACCGGCATCTGGTGGCCATCGTTTAGCCTGAGTTTCGGTACGATTACCGCTTGGTTTTTATCGGCGGCGGCAACACGTGTTGTTTGGCCACTCATTGCTTATGTGTTGTTGTGTTGTGTTGTCTGCAAACTGTTTATTATCAGCTGTATTGGTGTTATCAATAAAATACGTCCCATTTGTTTGTTAGATAAAACTTTATTTATTTTTTTACATCAATATTACAGTTATTAAAAGTTTTGTTATATAACCACAAAAAAAATTTAAATGAAATATAACTTAAATATACAGTTATTTTTTATATAATTAATTGTATTTCTCTCTCTCTCTCTCTCTTTCTTTCTCTCTTTCTTTCTCTCTTTCTTTCTTTCTCTCTTTTTCTCTCTCTTTCTTTCTCTCTTTCTTTCTTTCTCTTTCTCTCTCTCTCTCTCTCTATATATATATATTAATTATATTAATTATTATTTATATTAATAGATATATTGTACTAATAATTTGTTTGTTTTTTTAATTACTTTTAAATTTTCTCAATAAAAAAATAAATAAATTTACATTTTATTAATGTATCATTTTATTAAAAATATTTTACTATAACAAAAAAAATGGTAATAATTTTTTTTTTTTAAATAACTATTTTAATTATTTTAATTATTTGATAAGTCCTTCACTAAGATATTTGTTTTTCAATTCAAGATAATAACCTAAACGTTGGTCACCTCTTTGCTAAAAAAAATTAAAAATAAAAACACATAATTTTTATTAATAATTATAATATATATATAAAAAAATTAAATTAATTAAAATATATTAAAATATTTTTATTAATATATTTACCAAAATCTGGTCTTTTGTTTTATTATACGGCATCTCTTCGGTGGCCAAACAAAACATTATGAAAAACATTTGCTGTGCCATCAAAAACACTTTGGCCTCCCTTACCAAATGGTCAACTGTGTTGACCATACTGTCCTCCCGGTAGGCCATTCCTCCGATTCTAACCGATTCGTCCAAATAACTGGTCATAAACTTGCGCAGTGTTTCATCTGAAACATTGCCGCCGATATTATTGGTCTCAGTTCGGCCCCAGTCTTCGAAAATGGCACCAAAATCAAAGCCCCGGTAGCCATAGCACGAGTACTCGAAGTCGCATAGTGTCAACAATTGCCGATCGACTACTGACTGCTGTCCATCAGTATCGCATCCGCCGCCGCCGTCGTCGTCGGCCAACTCGTGTACCAAAACATTAGCGCCGCGAAAGTCGTTGTGAGCAAACACTACGGGACTGTTGACAGCAGCCAAACACCGGTGCAACCATTGGCACTCTTTCTTGAGGTCAACAGTCATCAGATTTTTGGTATCTAACCGGACAAACATATCGGCCAACGGGAACAGCCGATTGGCTTTAGTTAGCTGCGAGTCGACAAACTGTCGAAACCAATCGCCCGTACGGGCAATGGGTACCGGCATCGCATGAAACTGTGCCAACAGTCCGGCCAATTGACAGACATAACGGTCCTGGGATTGTTCGCTGAGACCGAAAGTATGTAACTTTTGATTTGTTAAAAAATTAATAATAATAATAATTAAGTTAAAACATTATTTTTCAAATTATAATAATAATAATACTAAAAATACTTTAATAAACTGTTCAATGGAACCGTCGGCGAAAAAAGCTAACTGTTTTGGACCCAAACCTCTTTTCGATGCCATTAAATAGATAACAATATCGTTGAGTCTTTCATTATGACCATCACTGCCGCCGCCGCCGACACAACTACCGCTACTCTCTATCCATTTTTTACCATAAAGTCTGACCACAACTTCGGTCGGCGTATCATTGGCCAGTTGTCGGCGACAACTTTTGTTGTCGCTATTGTTATCGATTGCACAATAATACATTTGATTGGTAAACCCGCCGGTAATTCGCCTGACAGTTAGGTGCGGCCGACGACGACGACCGTCGTTGATTTCTGACCAAATACCGCCTAAATATTGACCGCAAAGTCGACGACATATTTCGATAATATCGTCGGGTGTCTGTCCTCGCGACCACTTATTACGGTTTCGCTCGTAATCACTGGTTTGTTGGGAACTCATATTTATTTTTTATTTATTAATAAAAATTTATTTTAGTTTTTTTTGTCCTAATTATTGTTAATACAATAATTATTTTAATAACTGTTTAAAATATTTTTGTTGTAAAGTTTTACTGTCAACTTATATAAACATTCAAAAATATACTTATTTATACTTAAAAATTATTTTTATTTTTATAATAATAATAATTATTATTATGATATATGATATTATTAATACTATACTATATTTATTAAAATTGAGTGCAAATAAGTATTTTATGATATAAGTATACTATATGTGTTTTGTAATCAAAATTATGATAAAATATCAAATTAAAATAATTAATTTTAACTTATCTTCATATTATATTCTGTATTATACCAAAAATGTTATCTTTTTATAAATTATATATAAATTAATTTTATAGATTTCAAGCACAAGACATCATATTGCTATCATTTTTTTTTATTGTAAATAAATATTTATTAAATAAATCTTTAATAAACATTTTATTTTGTTTATATTGAATAACCGTTTAGATAATAAATAATATTATAAAATACAGTACAATATACATGTAATAAATATATTTATTTTATATTTATATTATTATTATTAACAACAACAACTAAAACAATATTACAACATTATTTTGTTGAAATGCAAATTTATTAAAAATTTTAAATTTTAATTAAATCAATAATTTTATGGCTCAATAAAAAAAATAAGAAACAGAAATATTTTTTTTCGGGTTTTTGAAATAAAAACAATATATTAATTATTATTAAATAAATTTTAGTGATAAAAAAACTAAAACCTAAAACTAAATAATATATGTATTTAAAAAACCAATTAACCAGTTGTACTGTCTTTGATCCTATCGGACATAGTCTTGACGGCAGTGTTGGCCAAATCGCCGGCCTGTTTGACCCGACTCTTGACATTTTGCCAAACTTTATCCGCCTGTCCTAGCATTGAACTATCGCCTTATTAAAAAAAACATATTTATCCCAAAAAACATATATATATAGTATTATTATTACAAAACATTTATCTAGAAATATATATATATACCCGATGCCCGTTTTCGGCGCCGGAAATGCAATTTTTCGGCCAACTTTTCAAACAACTGGTTGGCCAAACCGCCCGAATCCAATCGACCGGTGCCCTTGATTTCCATGTAATTAAGTTTCAGTTTACGGCCAATCAGTTTGATTTTCATCGGTTTTGTCGTATCCGGTGATACTATATTGTTGTTGTTGTTGTTGACATAATTATTATCATTGTTGGTGTTGGTGTTGGTGTTTTGATAGTCATAGTTATTGATTGTCTCCCGTTGATTATCGCCATAACCATAGGCTAACTGTCCACCATTAACCATCAATACTATTAGCACCAATGCTAGTACTATAGGCGATATTAATAGATTCATAATAATTACAAAAAAATAATAATTAAATTATAATAGAGATTATTTAAAAAAATTTAATAATATTATAGCTAAATAATTTAATAATAAAATATTTTTATATATATGTGTGTTAACTACAATTTATTAAATAAAAATCTATTCAATCAGTAAATATGATATATTATACTACAATATATATATGATATATAAATGACAAATATTATTATTCAATAACTATACATTTTTATCAAACAAACAAAATCAATAGATAATTATATTTGTATTACAGTATTATATTAAATATGAAAAATCTATTATAACTTATATTTACTTTTAGTACAACTGTGCAAAAAAATGTAATGTAAAGTTATATTGAAAATACTAATATTTTTATAATACTTATTTATGATAATGTATTAATAATATTAAATAATAATAATTATTATTATTTATGATAATAATGTTTATTTTGTAGCATTATGTTTATTTTCTATCAATATCAATTTTCTATAAAACTACTAAACAAATTTATAAATAATAATAGATAGATAGATATAACAAATTTTTATACAATATTTTAATGTAATTAAATAAATATTTATTTTAATATTAAGCAATAATTTTTTTTAAAAAAATAATTTAACTTTAAAATATTTATCGAAAAAATTAGCACTAAAATTTCCATAATAGTCATCTATTTATTTTTATATAAAATTTTATATATAATTTGTTTTTAGATATTTGTTAAATTTGTAGTGTCTGGTTTGAGATCAGATCACTACTAGAGGGTGATTAAGGAGGCGCCGGTTGTTTAGCGTGGGTCGGTATGAGACCTACAACCAGTTATCTACTTAACCACTAGTATGTTATCACCTGAAGGGTCGTTATGAGACCAATCAAGTGGTATATATGATGATCACTTGCAGTTGTGGTGCCGAAGTAAGGCAGGAGTTGATCCGTACGTACCGATGATGTCTTCCTATCTCTTGATTTACTTGATTGTGGAACTGTAGGCCAATGTTGGGAACAACCGGTTGAGATGTCTTGAGATTCCTGATATATCTTCAACGATCGGTTGGGACAGTAATGGTGATAGCAGTGAATGAATGGTAGTTAAGACACAGTTTCAATTAATAGTACTTTTATTAGTTAAACACAATTAATATTTGATTGAATACAATGGTTTGATTTGAAGTACAGTATTGTAGAGCACATGTATTGAGTGCTATAGTAATGGTATAACTCTATATTGAGTAGTAGGCTAACTGAGAGGTCAGTATGCGCTTAGTATGCGATATGTAGTTACTGTCTGTATGACTGTCTGTCTTACTGTCCAATGTAAGTGTAAAAGCCTACAGTATTTATAGATCTTTTTTGACAACCGGTTGTGTGAGAGAGGACGGGTAGCTATTGGCTAAATTGAATGACTTGAACAGTTAGTGGTAGCGGCAGATAACTGTCAGGTCGGCGCCAATAGATTGGAGGCAACAAACGGTTGTTCAGAGAATCGGGTAATAAAATACTGTATATAGTTTAGGGTCTAATTTGAAAATAGAAATATAAATCCAAAAATAGTTGCAAAATAATAGATAAACAAATAAATGATAAAATAAATGCAAAACTAAAAGGTAATAAAAATATTTCAATAAATTTATGCTAATTAAAAGCATATTCACTACACTCCCCGGCGCTTTAAGACTGGTCGCGGAGGTAGTATGGCTCGAGTTGACCGACGTGGACCAGGAATGGATCAGTTGACCGGTTGTATTGTTGTATAGAAGCGTTGACGGGTCCTGGGATAGCCATGACAATGAATGGTCCTTCAAATCTTGCGGACAGTTTCTTGAGATCCGGATGGTTAGATGGAATGCGACGTTTGACGAGTTGTCCGACTTTTAGGTCAATCGGTTTGTGCTGACGATCGTAGGCTACTTTAGCTTTGGCTTTGTGTTGGTCGGTATTATGTTTGGCCTGTTTTCTAGCATCCGTTAGTTCCACTCGCGTATTATGATTGTCATTTCCATACATGAGGAATGTTGGCGAGAAACCGGTTACTGTATGTACCGTGTTGTTGTAGTTCATAGTGACTTCCTTGAGCAAAGTTGTCCATTTGCGTCGCGGATTAGCCACTAATGCCATTGATAATCCTGTTTTGATGGTTCTGTTTACTCGCTCATTCGTGCCATTAGACTGCGGATGATATGTGGATGTATAGAGATGTCTGATATCGTGTTTAGTTAGAAATCTGTAAAAGTCTTTAGACTTAAACGATTTGAAATTATCGGTTAACAGAGAGTCGGGTTTACAACCGGTTATTTTAATTATGTCGCCCAATAATGATATACAAGCAGATGAAGTGTTTGTTGGTGTAGCTTTTGTCCACACGTAACGGGAATGGTGATCAATTACAACTTGTATATACCGGTATTGATTACCGTTTGTCTCTTTACCCATGACCATAGTATCCATTGCAATTAGTTTCATCGGTTGATCGGGAGTAGGCAATGGTTGTAGTTGACCATAGGTTGCATGATTGGATACCTTAACCAATTGACATGTTGGACACGATTTGACGTACTCTTTAATGTCATGTATCATATTTGGCCAATGATACTGTATTTTAATTTGTTTAGTGGTTATCCGTATGCCAGGATGACCACTGTTGTCATGAGATGTTTCTAGTAGAGAATATACTAGACTTGGAGGGATAATAGTGAGTTTTCGACCATACTTTATAATAGTCTGAAGTATTTCGGTATCGTTTGATGTGAAAGTTGGTCGACTTTGTGATGAGACAACCGGTTGGTGGTTGTCAGCTGTAGTAATCACTTGTACCGGTTCCTCATATGTAGACTTGAGGTCGGCATCGCGTTTTTGGTGTTGATGTATAATAGCTTCGCGTATGAAATAATTGGCGGGCGCTCTGGACAAGGCATCCACGTGAGCCATTTGTTTACCCGGTTTATGGATGATTTCGAAAGTATATAAACTCAACTCTTCTGACCAACGAAATAGACGTTTTTTCGTTGATTGGAAGTTAATGAGCCATTTGAGTGCTTTGTGGTCAGTATATAACTTGAATTGAACGCCTTCTAGATATATGCGAAAGTAACGGATGGCGTCATGAACGGCCAGGCATTCAAGTTCGGTTACAGTGTATCGTGTTTCAGCATCGGCCAATTTTCGGGAGTAATAGCCGATTGGTTTTCCACTTTGAAATAGTATGCCAGCGATACCGATTGCGGAAGCGTCGGTGTGGAGTTCAACCGGTTGGCTATGGTTGTATATCCCGCGTACCGGTTCGGAAGCCATTAGTTTCTTGAGGTTGTCAAATGACTCTTGATGTATTTCAAGCCATTGAAACTCTTTAGCTTTTGACTTTTTCATAAGTGTTGTCAATGGTGCGGTAACTGAAGCAAAGTCGGGTATATATTCGCGGAGATAGTTTGCCAAACCGTGAAATCGTTGAACATCTTGTTGAGAAGTTGGTATCGGAAAGTTTAGTATCGCTTTCACTTTACTATCCGGCGGACGTACTGTTTTACCATCGATGATATGGCCTAAGAATTCAATTGATTTTTTGAAAAACTCACATTTTTCTTTCTTTAGTCGGGCATTATTTAGGGACAACCGGTTAAACACTTCGTTTAATAATCGGTTGTGTTCGTCCAGTGATGATGAGTAGATTATGATGTCATCCAAGTATGATATGACACCGTTATTATGGAGATTTCCGAGAATCTTACGCACTACTCGATGAAAAGTTGCGGGACTATTCTTGAGTCCGAAAGGTAGGACTGTCCACTCATAGTGTCCGTCGCGGGTGACGAATGCTGTTTTATGTATGTCTTCTGGTGAGACGGCGACCTGCCAATAACCGGAAGCGAAATCCAATTTTGAGAATACAGTTGATCCTTGGAGACGGTCAATGACGTCAGCGATAACCGGTAATGGGGTCTTGTCGGCGACAGTTTTCGTATTGAGTCGACGGTAATCCACACACAAACGATATGTGCCGTCTTTCTTAGGAGCCAAAGTGATCGGTGCAGCGTAAGGGCTCACGCTTTCCCGGATTAGTCCTTTTTGTAATAGGTCCTTCACTTGGCGGGCAGTTTCAGCTGCCATTGGAAATGATTGACGGTACGGGCGCTGTGCTGTAGGCTCATTGTCAGTCAATACGATTCTGTGCTCTTCAATTTTAATGCGGCCTAAGTCAGTAGAGTCGGCGGCAAATATTTGTGAATATTTGTAAATGAGTTGATCCACATTTTTATTAGGTATTGTAGGCAACCGGTTTGTTGTTGGTTGAATGGCCATATAATTGCAATGATGACCGGTTGACTTTAAGAAGGGGTGTATTTTGTTTGACCATTTATACGATACAGTTTTAGAGTGTGTATCAATGATGACACCATAACGGCCAAGAGAGTCGATAGACATGAGAAGTGTATACTCGAATCCGTTAAGGACTTGTGCTTTCATAGTACGTGTCATCCTATTAATTGTCAGTTTAAATGCTACTTCACCAACGGTACGTATCGATCCACGAGCAAGTGATACGCTTGTTGATCGGCGATAGTTAATTGGAAGCCGTAGATGTTTTGCTACGTAGAGTGGCATTAGATCCACTGTTGAACCTGGATCAGCAAAAGCAGATAGTTCGAAATTCCCTATACGTCCCGGTATTAAGATTATGCTTTTGACATTAGCTGCTGATGCCATGGTTTGGGGACGTATGTAATGATTAGAGGTATCGGTTGATTGACTTGAATCACCAATGTTTGGTGTGACAACCGGTTGTGGTACGGTTGGTTTATGAGGGCAATCTTTATGATAGTGCCACGATGTCAGGCCACGGTCACGGCATATGCGACATGAATATGGTGGGCGAGACTTATCTTTTGAATCCCGTTTGTTGGGAAAACGTTTGCTGAACCTATCGTTATTCTTGTCGGTTGTAAAATGTGATGAGCCGGGTTGTCTGTAATGTCGATTACGAGATTTGTCGGCTTCTATATCTTGAGCCATTTCCAGCCACTCGGTGGTTGATTTGAATCGACGGCCATAAAAGTATTCGCGATAGTCAGGGATGAGTCCATCGGTGAGGAGGTTGGCTTTGTCGTTATCAGTGTAGTTCTTGACTCGACGTAATAGCTTTAGTTTTTCGTCATAATATTGTTTTATGCTTTCGGCCTTTTGTTGGCGTCTTCTATTTGCGGCCACAACGGGAGGTATGTCGGAGTGTGCGTACCGGTCTAGTAGTAATTGCTTTGCATGAGTCCATGTGACGTCAGAACCGGTTAAGATATCCGAGCCATAGTAGTTGGCGGCGTCGTCTGTTAGAAACTCCATTATATCATCGACTTTGTCGTCATCGGAGTTCAATCGAAATGCTCTGTCAAACATCGATATGAATGCTTCTATCGTGAGGTCTGAATCTGAAGAGCCACTAAACTTCGGTATCTTCCGTTGTTTAGGTTTTGATGTACCGGTTGTATCTGTCGGTGCACTGCTTGAGAGTTGCACAACCGGTTCAATAGAGTTATTAACGTCATTACCATTGATAGACATGTTGGCTATGTTTGTGTCTTCTGTTTCGTTGCTATCACTGTGAGGTATATCTTGTCGTCGATATAGAGTTCCGCTTCTTGTAAGTCCAGTGATAGGGGTTGTCATCAGCTATGCGAAGGTAAGGATCGTAAGTATGATCAGTGCTGACTGCGCCAATTTGTAGTGTCTGGTTTGAGATCAGATCACTACTAGAGGGTGATTAAGGAGGCGCCGGTTGTTTAGCGTGGGTCGGTATGAGACCTACAACCAGTTATCTACTTAACCACTAGTATGTTATCACCTGAAGGGTCGTTATGAGACCAATCAAGTGGTATATATGATGATCACTTGCAGTTGTGGTGCCGAAGTAAGGCAGGAGTTGATCCGTACGTACCGATGATGTCTTCCTATCTCTTGATTTACTTGATTGTGGAACTGTAGGCCAATGTTGGGAACAACCGGTTGAGATGTCTTGAGATTCCTGATATATCTTCAACGATCGGTTGGGACAGTAATGGTGATAGCAGTGAATGAATGGTAGTTAAGACACAGTTTCAATTAATAGTACTTTTATTAGTTAAACACAATTAATATTTGATTGAATACAATGGTTTGATTTGAAGTACAGTATTGTAGAGCACATGTATTGAGTGCTATAGTAATGGTATAACTCTATATTGAGTAGTAGGCTAACTGAGAGGTCAGTATGCGCTTAGTATGCGATATGTAGTTACTGTCTGTATGACTGTCTGTCTTACTGTCCAATGTAAGTGTAAAAGCCTACAGTATTTATAGATCTTTTTTGACAACCGGTTGTGTGAGAGAGGACGGGTAGCTATTGGCTAAATTGAATGACTTGAACAGTTAGTGGTAGCGGCAGATAACTGTCAGGTCGGCGCCAATAGATTGGAGGCAACAAACGGTTGTTCAGAGAATCGGGTAATAAAATACTGTATATAGTTTAGGGTCTAATTTGAAAATAGAAATATAAATCCAAAAATAGTTGCAAAATAATAGATAAACAAATAAATGATAAAATAAATGCAAAACTAAAAGGTAATAAAAATATTTCAATAAATTTATGCTAATTAAAAGCATATTCACTACAAATTAAATAGATATTAGTCTATTGACTTTTTTATTACCAAAAATATTAACATTTTATAATCATATCAATCACAACTATATTAACTATTTAAAAACATATTTTAACTTTATTTTATTAAATATTTTTTTTATAAAAAATATCTTGGTTAAATATTCATTTGATTAGAATTAATAGTAATAACAATTAGATACATTGTATTTAAAAAAAATTATTTTTAATATTTTTTTACTATAATAATAGTAAATATGATATATAAATGATGCTACTGTTGTAAATAAATTTTAACATTAATTTATATTGTAGTATATTACTAACATAAATATTAGAGCTAGCAGATTTTAATATTTTTAAAAAATAATATTAATTACCAGCAATACTATTATTGTTATTTTTACTTACTGGCTGATTTTTATTAGATCTATAATTATTATTATTATTATTATTATTATAGCGATAATTGTTCCTGGTAAATGTGCTATTATTATTATTAACTGGTTTTCTGGCTAATCTATTATTTTGATTATATTGATTATTATTGCTGCGATTATTGTTGTTATTGCGGGACATATATCGTTGTTGTTGCTGCTGTTGTTGGCCAGTTAGCTGTTTTTGTTGTTGTTGTTGAATGTTTCTCCCGGAGCTGGCATAACGTTGCTGTTGTTGTTGTCTACGTTGATTAAAATTATTATTATTTTTATTAGTAGTAGTAGTAGTAGTAGTAATAGTAGCTGCTGTAGTAATAATAGGAGTAGTAGTAGTATTGTTGCTATTATTAGTTAAATTTGTCGAGTTTGTATCTATTATAGATAAAATAGGGAAAAAATTAAAAAATTAAATAATTTAATTTTTAAAAATTATTTGTTAGAGAAATAATTAATTAAATTAAATCAATAATTACCAAAATTATTGGTTGCATTGCGCGGCAAACGTATTAATATTTTGTATTCACTGGACTTAACAATATTATTAATACTATCATAACTAATAATAGCATTATACTTATTATTATTATTATTACCGTTTATTTGAATTATAATACAAGAAATAATAATAATAATTATTAATAATATAGTTTTAGATAAATTATTTATAACAATCATTTTTTTATAAAAATAAAATTATTTTTAATTATCTAAAAAATTATATAACTATTAGTAATTAAATGTTTTTAGACACTTGTAATAAACATTACTATTTATACTATTTTTTTATTTTGTTTAGTAAATATAAATTACTAATAAATTGATTGGCATTTATAATTTTCTAAATTAGTTATGCTTTTATATTATATGATTTTATTATAATAAAAATTAGATTTTATATTTGATTTTAATAAAATTACCAAAATAATAGTATATTAAAATATATTAAATATAAATATTAATAATACACAATTATTAACAAACAAACAAAAAATCAGTAAAAATACATATTTTGTAATATTTGTTTAATTATTTCTAATGAATTTATTATTATTATTATTATTATTATTATACATTATTAATCAATTTTTATATTAAATTAATTATGTAATTCAATTCAGTGAAATTTTATTTATTAATTTTGAAATTAAAAATTTTGATATAATATAAAGCATTTAAATTGCATTTACTAATTATGAAAATGTATACTACAGTAAAAACATTGTGCTTTTGAATGAAAAACAAAATAATAATAATAAGTGAATTATTTTTTTAAAAAAAGTCTATTTATCTATAGTTTATAGATAATTACTACACAAAAAAATCAATTTAAATTAATTAAAAATTAATTATAAAAATTTTGTAAAAATATTGATTTAGTGGCATCAGATAATTTTTATGTTTGTTAAATATATTATTATTATTATTATTATTATTGTCTTGACTTTTAGTTTCTGTTTGAGTTTCTGCCGCCACCACTACCTCTACCGCCAGCCCCACCACTACCCCCACCCCCACCACCGCTGCCGCTTCCCATTACTTTGCGTACACCATCGTAGGCACCCTTAGCCGTCATAAAGGCCTGTCCCGGTGGTGTCATTTTAGCCGCTGTTTTGGCTACACCCCAGGCCGCCTGACCAACTCGTCTCATATTTCCGCCTATAGATTTGCATTAGATATTAGATATAAATATTTATAAATTAAAAAAACAAAACAAAAATCTTATGGTAAGTACCTCCAGATTGCTGGCCACCACCTGACGAGCCTCCCTGTTGTTGACCGCAAGTTAGCTCACAAATGATAAGCAATACAAGCGCTGAGTATAGATATTTCATAATTATATTTATTTATTAATTAATTTTTGTTTTGTTTTGTTTTAAAGTATCTAAATCTTGAGGTAATAGATAGTTGGTATGTTATATACAGTATATAATAACAATTGACAACAACGACAACAACAAAAATAATATAATAAAAAAAATTATTTTTTTCTATTTATATTAAAACTATTTATATAGGATTTCGTTGGTTTACATCTTTTTTTTTTGTTGTTTACTAAAGTCTATGACTGTATTGTAATAAATACAGTATTTTTATGATAATTATATATTCAATTATTTTATAATATTGTATATATTTATATTTATAAACTAATATATGATTGAGTAATATGATTGATTACGATGATTGCTACAAAAAAATAGATATTTTTAATAATAATAATAATTATTATATATAATAATATACTTAATTAATCAACATTTTTTCAGTATATCAATGTTTATTTAGTAATTATACTAGGATAATTTTTTTGAAATAAAATTATTTATTTATTCAATATATATATAGAAATTATATGATATTTTTTGGTTGACAATAAAAAAAATATCCAATAATTTATTAATTGTGACACTCAATAATTATTATAATGTTTACTCTAAGTGAAATGTGATTGAATAAACTAAATAATTAAAAGTGACAACTATAATAAATATATAATTTTTTTAAATAATAATAATTTATTGATCTAGTAACTAATATATAATATTAAACTTATATATATATATATTTCTATACTATATATTAATAACAAGGTTATTTTATTATAGTTGTCAAATAACTAATAATAATAATAATAACCTTATAAATATTGTTACTGTATATAACTTTCTATGTATTAATAGTGTAAAAGCAAATATTTGCATTAAAAACAGTTGTTATAATTTTATGTAATTTAAAAACAACAAAATAATATTTTAGTAATATATATATACAGTACAAGTTCTATTAGCAGTAATAGACAAATAAAATATAATTAATAAAAATAACAAGTATTTAATTATGTTATTTAACAGAATATTCTTATATTAATAAGTAAACTTTATTTTTTATATTTTCAAAAAAAACAAACAAATTATTTATTTTATATTATATTAATTATGTTTAAAGAGATTTTTAAAGAAGTTTATTTACTTTAACAAAAAATATAGTAATAACTTTCAATTTATTATTTATTGATTTATATTGATTTATATTATATTTATATTGTTAATAATAAAAAACAAATTTATATTAAAAACATATAATATAATAGTAACTACAGTTACTACAGTAACTACAGTATTAATTACATATATAACATATTAAACAAAAATAATTTAAACAAATTTAAGATATAGTATTTAAAATTAGATGAATAAAATTATTGTGAATTATATTTAATTAATAAATAGCTAAATAAATTTATGATAAATTATTATATATACAATACAAATAAATCCACAAAAAAAAGTTTTCTAATGTAATTATAATAACAACAAGTTATACAACTTATATAAGCAAAAAATTATATAAATAAATGATAATAACAAAAATCAAATGTCGATTGCCGTTAGTACCGGTGCCGCAATCGCCGGAAATAGTCTGGTCACTGTTGCCAGCAAATTGACTTATAGACGACCTATTGGACAGTAATGCACCGAACGGTATGCGAGCCCATTGATGGTCGCAATCAATCAATTGGTCAACAGATCGGACTGTACACCGTAGTGAGTGCTGGTCACCAAATCGTATGCGACAGTATCGGCGATTTTGGCCAAAAAATAAAAACAATGATCTGTCGGCAAACACATTCATCGATGCCGTTGTCCTCGACAGGACATGTCGTTGTCGTCGTTGGTCACCTTTTTGTTTGCCGCCGTATTGATTGATAAACGTCAACAACTGGTTATCGTTGCTATTGTTGTCCACCACAGCGTCGGCCAAAGTGACCAACGGTTCAGGCGATAGCATAGCTTCAACATGAGTTAAATCAAACTTATAGACCGAATATTTCTGTCCAAACAAAAAGTATACTAAAACTTCCGACGGTTTGACTATTCCGCTGTCCGGTTGTCTAACAAATGCCGTGTCGAGTACTGTAGTATTTGGCCAATCGCGCCATTGGATTACATTTTGTGCCTCAATTTGTTCGTCGGGTGTCATCCGAGTCCAGTGATTACCCGAAATAACAATCAATTGATTGGCAAATCGTGTGTTCGGCGGAAACTGGAATACAGTATCGACGGGTACTTTGACCAGTGGTCCCCATTGGTTGTGTATAAATGTTGCCCGCGATTGTAGCCGAAACTGGTCATTCAATTGCCAATAGTAGCGATCGCTAAACGCATAGTACATAACTGTCTGGTTGTTGGTGTTGTCGTCAGCTATCAGCCGTACGATAGCATCCAAATTGTCGCACAAAGACATTGATTTATCGATGCAATTGACAATTAATATCATAATTGTTTGATTAATTAATATAATAGTTATTATTATTAATAATAACTCTCGTATAGACATTACTTATCCTAAAAAAATAAATAAAATCATATTTTATTTAAATGAATATTTTTATTGCAATTGAAAGCAAAAATTTTATTTAAATTAATTCCGTTAATAAAAATTAAATTATTATAACTAAAATTTAAATGTTTTTTTTTAAAATTCACGCGAAATTTGTTTGTTTGTTTAGTTTTAATAATATTTTTGTTTAGTTATATTTTATTTATATATTTTATATATATTTATAATTTATATATTTATTAATAGTAATCACCTGCTTATAATGTTTGCTGATTATGTATTACAAAAAAATAATAATTTAGCATCTATTGTATTAAAAATTTAATAATTTAATTATCAAAATAAAATACATATTTGAAATCTAGTTTTGAAGTTTATTTACTAATAATTACAGTAAATTTACTAATAATTTTTTTTAGCCTTCCTATTTAATATACCGATAAACCGATTATTAAAGTAATTTGATATAAGGCGTGGTTCACATATTACGTTCGCACTTTTTAAGAAATCTAGACCCCCTCCCTCCCCTATGTTCGCAATTGTTCGCGTGTAGTCATTTAAAAAAATTACGTTCGCTTATCCCTAACCGCTACCCCCCCCCATCACAAGATATAAGATATTATCTAAATGCGAACGTTCTTAAAGTCTCTACCCCTCCCCTCCTCCTCGTTCGCAAAAGTTCGCTTTGGCTAACCCCCCCCCTCCCCTCAAGTGCGAACGTAATATGTGAACAACGCCTAAAGTATATATAAGCATAAATTAATTTATAATTATAACTTTTAATATATAGTTAAATCTTAAATACACTGATAGTTTCATTACTTATTAATCCATTATTTTTTTTGTTAGACTATTATTACTGTTATACTAATAATATTATATTTTTATTTAGTTTTAATTTAGAGTTATAAATAATTTAATATTAGCATTCATGTGATTAAATGTTTATTAAATCTATTAATAGGAAATTTTTATAGAGATTATAGAGATAAATATTTTAGACAAATTTGAAATAACTAGAAAAACATTTCAAGCGATTATAGGGATTGTAATATTTTCTATATATAAATACAGTATAAAAATGTTTTTCATTATTAATTCATTGCACGGTGTGATTGACCAGTGATTGGCCACACATTTAAGTTTTAACTAAAAATACATTTTTTTTACAAAACAGCTTTTAATAATTCTATTGTCCTATAATTGTAAGTTATTTCCCACAAAAAAATATTAATAATAACTCAATTGATTGTAATGTTTGACAACTTAACAGATGTATTAATAGTCTTATTAATTGGTTTTGTTTTTATATATAGCAATCACAACAACAATGGTATCACAAGTGATGGACAAAAACAATAATAATAATAATAAGTCTTCATTTGATCGGTTCGGCGATGATTTGGCTGAAGTTATACTAACATATCTATCACTTGAAGATCAGTTGCGTTTAGAGTGTGTATCCAAACAGATCCAGTCGTGTGGTATTAGAAGCCAAACACACATAAAATCACATGAAATTAAGTATTTTTTGCCGAAAGTAATGACTAAATGTTTTTCGGACAAAAAGATACCAATATATAGTCGAAATCATATACTAATTGGTTTATATCGATTGGATAAGTAATGAAGATTTTATAATAGATTTGCAAACTATTTATCACTATTGGCCACAATTGTGGCGAATTGACTACGATTTCTACAATATTTACGTCAAATACATACAATTTTTATGCGAAACATTTCCATAAAATGATTAGAAATATTAGTATTAGATGTAATTTAAATGAAAGTTCGGTCAACACAATCAAACAATACCTGTCATCGATGACTAATCTCCGCAAACTGACCGCTCAAGTGATTGACAATGCGTTTATCGGCGACCAATTGGTGGTCAACAGTTTGTGTGAATTCAGACTAGCTATACAATGGTTAATATGGAGAACCGATTCAAGACATTCATCGACGGTAACATTGGTCTCCAAATTCTTGGTCTTTATTTCGATTCTAGTCTTGCATCTGACGCTAGAGCTGTCGCTGTCCTATCAGTTATACCGCGATTACAACGACTGCAACAATTAAGTATAGACTCAGATGGAGATGCATACAATTACACGATAGTCCAGCCATTTGATGATAATTGCCAACAGTTGTCGTCGACTAAAGTCATTTAAATTACGTCTAAGATTAGACTCAATTGCCGCATATATTGAGACATACAATGCCGTCAAACTAATGAAACAATTGAAACAATTATATTTATTGCTATGGCTTAAAGATTTAAGCAAACATTTAATTGATCCCTCACTCAATGGATGGTTAAATCTGGTCAACAGTTGGCCACAATTGACTCATATTTGACACTTGACTTATCACATATGGATCGACTATTATTTATTAATATACACCAAAATCTACCGAAACTTTTATATTTGCATTTTGACGGTCCGTTGGATGCATATAATACAGAATTGTTGGATCAAATCTCAAGAATGTCATCACTAAAGAGTGTAACAATTGGTTCATTTATAAATAAAACTTATAAAACAATTGGATGCGCTTAAAGTGATAGCTAAGTGCCGCACTTTGATTGCATTTTATTGTCTGTCAA